ACTATGGACAAGCATACTTTCAGATCCTAAAAGCTACGGTTCGGAGGAGCACTGGGCTGGGCAAGGCTGGTGAAGAGCTCTTGGTCACACCCAGCCGCGATCACTCAGGAATGAACCCCTGCAGACATTCACCCTGGGATGTGACCAGGTGTCAGGATAACCCATACTGCTCAAGGCACTGGGGAAAAAACCTCACAGTAAATAAACCTACCACAGCTTTAGGGACTCGTATTTTGAAAGCTTCCAGAGCTGAAAGAAGTGGCAGACGCTGCAGAAAAAACCTTTTCAGAAGCACACACATACATACACATGTATACACACACCAAAGAAATCCTGTTTCTAGCTTTGGAGCGAGGAAATCCACCTCATCTCCAGTGCAGGACTGCTTGGCAGGTTAATTCAGCTTCAGGTGGGATCCTTCTGTGACAGCACTATTTCAATAGGGTGCAGGAAAAAAGATGTTTAAATGTATCGTGGTGTTTTAATCCTGCTTCCCCACGAAATTTAGGTGAATGGGAGGAAAAGCCAACGGGGAAAGAGCTGTTAGCACACTGCTGTCAGAACACTGCAACTCACTGGACTCACAAAGAGGAGCTGAGAGCAGGCCAGCTGGTCAATAACCTAACGTAAACGCAGTCTTAACTGCAAATATCAATTTATGCTGAAGTTAATGGCAGGCTGGGGACAACTGCTTTGTAGGCTCATGAGAAATATTCTATAGAGGCTCTCCTTCACACCTTCGTTTCTTGTGACACAGAACCAGAGCACTCCTCAGGACCTGACAAGGAAAAGATACTCCTTTCCTTGGAAATAACATCATCATCTCAGAGAAACCGTAGAAATCCACACGCTGCAAGATTGCTTGGCTCAAAGGTGGCTTTTCACCCCTAGAACTCGGCAGGGTTCTGCAAAGAGAGTCAATACCATCAGCTGCATTTTCCAAACTGGAGCAGAGAAAGGAAAAATCAGCACGTGTGAAGGGTACCCAGCAGGGCAGCAGCGCAGCGGGAACACGAGGCTGGGACACCGAGAAAAACGGTATCACAGATATGGCCAAACTCTAATAACACAGAGCAGAGTCAAGGGGGGAATACAAAATATAGCAGTCCTTGAGGAGTGCCCAGGCAGCTGTCCTGTTATCTAAGCCCTGCAATGTCTGTCCATCTAGGGCTGCATCTCATTCAACCTGGTTCTCAAAGCCTACAGCACAGGATTTTGTAAGTCCCATGAAGTTTCAAGAACCACCAGAAGTACCCAAACAAAGCAGGTCTCCAACACAAAATCACCTGCCTTTCTGCTAAACCACCAACGGGGAGCAGAAGTACCTGGCAACGACAGAAATCGTAAAAATAGAGTTGCTGCCCTACCTTATATTTACAGCATAGGAGGATAGTCAACCTTTAGTTTATTTCTTGTTAAGAAAATGCTCTGGAAACAAAGCACTTATATAAATTAATAATAAGCACTTCAAAATATATTGTGGATAAAAGGGGAGAGGGAGAGTAAGGACGACTTGTGTATGTTCATCTACCCGTGAACGCCTCGATCACCTTTTCCCGAGTACAAAAACACGCACAAAGGCAACGTTCAAGAGACAAGCGAATAAGCATCACAGGTCTGTCGACTGTGTCAGAACTTCCCGAGCTCTCCACAGTGTTGCTGTCTCAGCACTTGCTCACCTGGCAGAACGGGAAATTCATTTAAAGTGACAAATCCTTGCACCCAGCTGGGTCCCCAGCCGTCCGCCACGGGAAGCGATGGAGAGCAGAAGACAACACAGCTACGTCCAACTTCTCCAAACCCTTGCACCCAGCTGGGTCCCCAGCCGTCCACCATGGGAAGCGATGGAGAGCAGAAAACAACACAGCTACGTCCAACTTCTCCAAAGCTCTGCAGCCTTCATTCCCCCGAGGCTGGAACAGCACGCAACAACAAAACCTGAAGGCTGCAACTGAAATTAATAACCCCAAATGAAACGTGTTATGCCACTGTGAGAAACTCGCGGCATGCTCTGGGAAAGGGCTGAAGCAGAAGCGGCTAAAAACGCAAAATGAAGGAAGAGAGCAACAAAAACAACCTCAGGCGTGAAATTATCGGGAAAAAGACAGAATATAGTAGATGCACTGGCTGAACAGCGGACAGAAAGTGACAGTGTTGAACACCGTCCTGTAAATATTTACATCCTATAAATATCACCTTCCCACTGGACATAAGGCAGAGGTTGGAGGGGGAACTCTGATTCACTCAACACAGTAAGCATGAGTAGAGTGAGCTTTTTCTACCCATCTACAATGTATTCAGAGGACCGCGAGGTCAAAACGACGCTGCAAGCACAAATCCAAGCCATTACAAATAGTCGTTCAGTAGATTTCCATGTAGCCCTGTGCTCCTCCACACCAAATCCCGGGGCAGCAAACCTTACACGTGAATTTTCTTCTTTATCCTCCTCTAAACCTCTTTTTTATAGGCACCCAGACTGTTCGATTTTGATATTGCTGGCACAGAGCTGTGCAAGAGGACATTTTCTAAATGGGATTTGGTAGTTAGCTCAGCGAGATGAACAGCATCTTGGTAAAGTAACATCCACATGGCCCCAATCCCTCTTCCTGGGTCGTACAAGCTCCTCTTCAGAACCAAGACCTATCCTGACAGAGCACGTGCAAAAAGCAGGGTCACAGCAATGTGCTGTCTAGGATCTTATTCAATAACATACTGTACACTCCTACCCTCGAATTGTCATCTGCTTTTGGTATTGATTACAGATATTAGGAATAAAAGCACCAAATATGCAAATACAAAAATTTGCTTTGATTCTTCTACGCAGAGAATTTGTGAAAAGAGCTTCTGAAAATACACAGAGATAACTGGAAACATGAAGGGAATGTTCTCCTTGCTGCTGTCATAATGAGAGCATAAAGTTTTCTAACTTTTTGATTGCTGGCAGCCGGAACTTTTGCTAGGTGTTGTGTAAAGCTCTTTTTTTCTTCTCCTGCCATGCAAGAGTTTAAAAGTCTAGCAGAAGGGAAGA